ATCCCTACAAAGCCGGGACGGAGCACGCCGGGTTCTCACCGGACCAGGCTCTCACATCACCAAGCGTGCCTAGAGGGGGGGGGGAGTGAAAAAGTACTTGGACGCACGGCAATTGCAATAGTGGACGGGTGTTGCATGTGGTGAAGGTGATGCCACCGCCGCCGTAGGCTCATCGGCATCCGCTCTTCGGCATGTTGCCGGCTTGAGTATGCTTGAATTGAACACCTTTTGACGCATGGTATTTACGCGTCCTTTGGTGCTGGTGTGACGTGTGTTGTTTCGCCATATTCGCCCAAGGTCAAATGTCGCGGACTTTGTCGCAGAAGCATTGGGAAGTTCCAAGATACTTCTAGCTTGAGGGGGGGGTGTGTCCCCAAGCACTTCCCAAGACTTGAAAACCAACAAACCAGCTGGAAATTGGAAGCCCATCACAGCTATATTAACACGAGGTAACAATCTTGCGGCACCGAATATACAGATCCCAAACCTATCAAACAACTACAACAGGGTTTTCGCCTGATCGAGAGCGGAGTATACGATTGAGAGCGGGAGCCAAAAAAATTGAAATTTCGGGTCCAGACGCCTCTTGCCATTTCTTGGCAAGTAGGGGGCGGGCTCTTCCAAGAAGCGGCGCAAATTGAAGGTCTCATCAGCAGCGTCACGAGCATATGCGTGTCATCGCGATCGGATGCTGCAGCTAGGAGCTAGACAAGTTGCTAGATTTCCCCAGATTGGCTATTCCTGCCTCAAACTGTTTCAGGGCGATTTGATCGCGGGCGGTGAGCTCTGCTGTAGATTCTGCTCCCCGCTGTAGCTCCACAACGAGAGACGCCCACAAGATGACCAGGGTATCGGCTTGTAGCTACGGGCTAGGCCTTCAATTCAAGTCACGCAGCAATCTCCAACTCTCAGCGGTAGTCCAGCTACAGCGCATCGCGCAATCTCGCTCTCAATCAGAAACTTCGCTCTCAATCACACGAAAACCTTGTTCTACCTGGTAACAAGGTCCTTGTCCACTTTTGCGTGCCGAAAACATCAGCACACGCAAGCACACGTAATGGAGAGGGAAAAAGCCAACAAAGCCTCTACAAAAATGTATCACGAAAAAAACAAAAATCTTTTCGTCCCCTCNGGGGGGGGGGGGGGGGGGGGGGGGGGGGGGGGGGGGGGGGGGGGGGGGGGGGGGGGGGGGGGGGGGGGTGTCGGGTAGGTATGTGGGAAGACTTTTGTTGTGCGCCCTTGGTCGCCTTCAAGACTTTGTTCAAGTGAGACTGTAAACGCATCACGCCCTCCTTTCCCCTTCCGTCGAGGCAAATGGGCGTCAATGCAACCAAAATAGCTGCGCGTATTCCTCTTTTATCTCACAAACTCGATTTCTACTTGGCGACGTTCGTCTGGCGGGCACATGCCGACTAGAGTACTTCGAGGGGAATACAAGAACCTTCCAAAGACCTCCCGAAGTCCATCCAACGCCACAACATGAAACACCCAATTATTACGTCGACGTCGGTACCCAAAGAATGACACAGGGTGTGTGTGCTGTATGAGCGTGCTGCATGCTTCGGCGGAGGAGGAAGGGGTTTGAGGCTTGGCACCGGAACGGATCTGAAGCTCCTGGGTTGGGCATTGATCCTGTCGACGTTCAAGGACAAGGGGTTCGACATAATCAGAAACACACCACAGAAATTATTCCAAATGCATGAGAGAACAAGAAAGCGTGAGCACACCAAGATGCACAGCGTGATCAGCGCATCGCGGTCTCGGACAAAACTGAAAAACATGAAATGCAATCGACACAGAGGAACGACCATGTCCGGGGATAATGGGGAAAAGCTCGTGTACGACGGGTTGCACGATAAGAATCAAAACAATGCAATCAGCCACCAGAGAATAATTCAACACAGCAACTCCAACAACAAACGTTACAATGAACAGCACACTTCTTTGGCGGCAACGACAAAGGAAGCCTTGCCTGCGGGGGAGTCATGGTGACGTACATAGCACCCCCCTCCAAGGAGACATTGGTCTCAGCCGTCGGCGTCCCCGCACCGCCAGCGCTACGCTTTCCGAAAACTGAGTCAACAACAAGGGCTCTACCCACTCAACGACTAGCAAAATCTAGTTTCCCCGCCGCCGATCGGCACCACGAACGCACGCCAACAGTCACCTTTGTGTTACTCTGGTCGGCTCTCCACAGCGTCGAGGTCGTTGTTCTCGAATTCGGCGCCGACATGATTTTCCTCGGCCTGCAAAGATCACAGATAGATGATGATGGATAAGGACCATACGGTTGTGTGAGAAGTAGCCCGATTGTTGAAGGAGGGGTGCTCAGCGGGGCAGCGTCGCACGCGCATTGTTGCTCGAGTATCATTTAGGGCGTGCTGGTCATGATGTTGTGCTCTCAGTGACATACTTTGACAGGGACCTCAAGAATACGTCGGCAGCGGATCGGTACACGTCTCAGTCGCCTCTCTCGGGAGAATACCAGGAAATCGCAAACTGTGCTTCAACACGCTGTTCGGATATTGCGTTGAGTGGGCAGCACAATACACGGAGGAGCAACAAAGGAAGCGCAGCTCTTGCCGACAATCGTTTCATACTCGTATTTTATTCTTGGACTTTCCTCTGCTAGAATGTTTTGGGAATGCAAAATGGCTGCGGATACGCGCACGACAGACGTTGATATTTGCCTGATTCCGACTTGGATGATGCCATTTACTCTCCCCAAAGGTGTCCTGCCTTCCAGTACCTACAATTGTATCATCTCTTGTGAGTTATTGCGCTCCTTATGTTCGCGAAGCGAAGCCGCCCCTCTAGGCCTGCTTCTGCTACATGGCCCTCACTTATATGGCTGAGCGTGTCCCCGCAGAGTAGTTTTCTGCAAGACGTGTGCTAGCGTGACAAAATCGCAAACGGCAACAATGAAATGAGCGAATACCGAAGCGCACGGTGCACGTAGTTTGCACATTCAACATAGGTCACGGTCGACTTACTGCTGAAATTCCTAGCGGGTATGAGAATGGGTGGGCCACTCTTTCTACTATCACGAAGAAGGATGTTGTTACGTACAACTCCTGTGAAAATGTGAAAACGAGGTGCTCAATGACGGGACGCGCAACATCGCACTGCCCCGCAAGACTGAAACATATCACTACTCACGCTGACCTCCTCGTGACAACTCTTTGTTCCCCAGTATTCCAGCCCCTCTGTACCCGCCGCCTGCTCCCGCAAGCCTCCACCGATACTTATCCAGGGCAGGACGATGAGCAAGAGGAGGGAAAAAACGGGCAGAGCGGCACTGGCCAGAAAACACCTCCTCGGCCCGAGATTGGCATACGAAACTCCGCCGAGGGTGGCCCCTAACCCGTACCCCAACCCACGCTTGAGACCCGCCACCGTTGCTTGCATCGTCGAGCGCAAATGTGCTGATGGCGGAACGGGTCGACCAGTTGGAACAAATAGCTGTGTCACGCGGGGAAGCACGGCGTGGTTGGAGTTGGCCATATTTGGGTGATGGGGTGCCCATTTCCGGATATCAGTAACCGTTGCAAAGTAGACGCAGCGATCGGCTCTCCTCTATCGTGTGCTACCAACCGTGGGGGGCCTCAAGCGGGGACGTCTGGTCCCTACCTGGCGCTATCCCGTGGGCGTAGTCGGTCGTAGCAGCCCACATAGCAGCAAACGTGAGGCCGTGCAAAAGTTCCGCCGGAAGCACCCACCATGGGTCCCATAGAACCTGAGCATGGTGAAGGCCAGCCAAATTAGTGTCGTTGACATATTCTAAACGGAGTGAACGAAGGTGGCACGAAAACGACGGACTGCGGGATCCAAGGGGTGCGTTTCCCCAACAATACCCAACATATTTTAAAGGTAGTTTTCGCGTAGCCGGCATCAAGTTGTGGAGGAAGGTTACGCTGGGCTACGGCAGCCCTCATGGATTCGCGCTGTTTCTTTATCCTCAATCCCGACCCTTGCGGTCGTGAATCTAACAAGATGTATTCTAACCAGTCAACACAAACAAACAGCGATGCTGGTACATTCCTGTTGTAGCATCGCCAAACTACTCTGTTCACTGAGAATATAGATCTAAGCGGACTACGCACCGAGTAGTAGACTAGTCGTACGATGTATCCAATCTGCGACAGGGCCACTACGTTTCTCGGTCCAATTTTCCGGATGAAAGATCCCGAAACGTAGAAGAACGGCACTTCTCCGCAGCACATTACAACTCCAGCAAGGCCCAGGAGAACGTGAGAGCCCCCGAGCTCATCCAACCTTGACGATAAAGCGGAAAACGTCCAAGCATGAAGGGGAACAGACGCGGGACTGTTCCGTTTGACGAAACAAAACGCGTGCGCCCCGTTGTGTCTCGAAGGGGCATCGATTCCGTCCTCACCCCGGTGAATGTTACATCATGCAGCACGATCCCGCCTGCACTGACAGACGAGACATTCTACTCAGGCTGCTGCATGTAACCCTACGATTCGCTCACGTTGGAGGCCCTCGCTTTCAGAAATCCCGCTTTAGCGCGAGAAGTCGTTGTTTTATCGAACATTACGCTTGCGGGTGGCTGGTGTCCATTCCCTAGCAAGCCACGACCCAGTGGCCGTCGAACGAACGAACTTCTCACGCACACGTGGATAGCCGCACCACTGGTGTATGTTACATGGGTATTTGCTCTACACCCGCCAAGTAACCCCCTCAGCGTCGTTTCCTCAACATGACACGGTTGTCAATTCCACTGAAAGCTGGTCTGCAGAGAGTCCGTCAGCGTAGCGGAAAGGTGCGGTGAAGGAGACCCACTAGGGGAGGGGGAGCGGCGCACGAGCTGCTAGTACGGTACGTCGGGCTTTGACTGCTCCTTGACTGGCGGTCTCAATGGGGTACGCCCCACAACTACAGTTCCCATCCTGCTTATTACACTACCGGTCCAACGTAATTTTCGGTGGAAAGAGCAAGTAGATGAAACTCAGGTTCAGGTCCGTATCGAAGCATGAGCGGTGTTAATCCCGCTGTCATTTCTTCAGCTGGAGATCGTGAGCGACAAAGCAATTCGACCCTAAATATGAGCGACAACTACTTTAGTTGTGCACTGACCAGATGAAAAGGAAGGTATCGATCACGCCCTTCGCCATGCCGCTTAGCATGACTCCCAAAAAGAACGAAAAATTCTGCGGCGCGCTGAACATAATCCAGAGGACTGAAGCCACGCGATGTTCCTCTTGTTCCACGTGATCTGGTCGTTTACTCGATTCCTCGTCCTCCAAATCGTCGACGTTCATTCCTACGCAGGGCCGGGTATTGGTAACCTCGTCTTCCCTCGCGCGTCCGGTCTCGACAAGCTCTGTTTCCCCATGAGCGGACCAGTTGTCACTGGTCCCTGATCGATCGCTGAAGAAGTTCAAAGGGGCCGAGGTCAACAGGCGCCTGATGATGGTCTTTGATTCCTCGTTTGTCAAGATTGTATGCCACTGTGCGTAGCATGCAAGATGTGAACGAAACAAGTTCTAACCAGGACCCTTGTGGTGACAAACGCAATACTACTGCAGCTGTTGAGGCGTCTCGATGTATCGCAAGGCTTAGATGACGTTACTCTACCCCTGCATGCGATAAGGGCCAATAAGCCTGAACAACAACTGGGGACACCTTCGAGTACCCCCGTCCTAGCCACGGGCCGTGGTTCACCGGACATAGCTTAAATCAGAACAGTTTTACGTGCGATTGCGGATACTGAACAACGTATACAAAGCTAAAAGGCTGATGGTCGCTAGTCAGGGAAAATTAATCATACTTGTTTCTCGGATCGATGCTCGTGGTTCCATCATGGTGTTTGCTGGCTGTTTCGGATAGACCTAGGCTCTATCTGAGGTATTTGGTACAAGATAAAGTGCGCCACCACGATCGTTCAGCATCGCACAAACAAGCACATACCCCCGCGGTTCCTCATCATCTTGACCACCGGCTGGTTCATTGGTTCGTCCAACCGGAACACCGAGGGCCGCTAGCAATGCTAGTGCCAAGACGGTCACGAAAACAACCATCAAGCCGTCGTAACTGCCCCCGGCAGCGTCATACACAAAGCCACTGATGAGGGTCGCGAGTCCATAGCCGGCTGCACCCCACGACCTCTGTGTCCCGTACCTGAGAAACAACGAAGGAGGAAGGAGCAAGGCCGAGGTAGGGTAAGCGGCACCTGCAGGGTAAACTAAGAAACTTCAGGTCTACTGAGGACCGTGAGATTTGCTCTTGCGTTAAAGAGAAAAACGGAAGCCAGCAGAAAGCGTACTTTACCACGGTACAGCGAAGCACACTCAGACAGAGAGAGGGAGAGATGAACGGTTGAGCAGGGCAATTGGCTGAAATATACACAAAGCCGCATCCCTTTTGCCCTAAGAACGTCAGCACACGGGTGTTTCTTTGGTCGGGAATAACCGGCATATATCTCCCCCCATGTAGCGAAACGAGAAGTGCAAACGCTTGTTGGTAAGAGAATAGCTGAGTTTCTAGCCTTGACTCACCCGGCGGAAACACGGCGATTAGCGTCCGTCGTCAGCCATTGTCAAGGAAACGTGTGGACATGCCCTTGACTAAACGTGGCTCTTGGCAGTATCCAGCGGTAGTGGATAACGTCACAGACTTCGCCCACGAGCTTTCAAAATGTGCTGGACGTTCCTTACGCTTACTAATGATCATACCCATTCCTTGCGTTCGCCATTGGGAGTGGTCGTGTGACACTTTTTTTCTGATACATTCAGCTTGAATTGTGTGTGTTTTGGCTTCATCATAGCAATGTGACCATGAATATTGCTTCAGACGCGTAGGAAACGAAGAAGGGGTGCTGGCCATGGTTCCAGGCTTTTGATTACAACTACCGATCCAAACGACAGTCAAACTTGCAGCAGTGGTGGCGTGAAAATATTCCATCTTGCACAAATTGCTGTTTTGCTGCTCCCAGATCTACGAAGCACACCAAGCGCCCCCCGACTCACCCGCCCGATCCAAATGCCTTCCTCACGGCGGCGTCAATGAGGCTATTCATTGGACTTGAGGAAACGGAACACGATATCTCCACCGCCGCCAAAGCCCAAAAGCCCCCGGCAGTGAGCATGGTTGGGCGGGTGATGGCGAATAGAATCATCAACCCGTACAGAGCCTAGACAAATCCCATCAGAACACGGTGGGGGTGGTGGAGCATTGTTGTCAAGTGCAATGCAAGACGACGAAGAAGTTGTTGGCGGCGTTTGTGTACTGTCGAGGAGGACCCGATTCGCGTGGGATCTGTCAAATGACTTTTACCAGAATCGGTACACCTTCGCATACCGTGTCAGTAGGAGACATGTTCGGCTCTCGTCGGGTGCGTATTTTTTCTCCTGACTTGGACATTTTCCCAGGGACACAATGTATGTCAGTCCTGAGAGCACCTTTGGAGTCGATCCTACAAAGAACCTTGTGACACATCCATCGAATTACTCGTCCTGGCCACAAGAGGTCCCTGTTGTGGGTAGATTCTGTGGGTGGGGAGTGTTAGGAGGACCCGATTCGCAGGGTATCCGTCGATTGACTTTTGCCAGAACGGTGCACCTTCGCATAACCACGAAAGTGGTGAGGCTCTCTGGGAGAATCGCATCCTGTGGCGCAATATACGCCTGATGTAGTTTCAATACGTGACAGTCTGGATGTTGCTTACTCCGAGAGTAACGTCCTAATCCTCGAGCGAACTTAAGGGCTTTCGAGTTGCGCATGGCGCGGCCGCATCCAGTTCATGGTCAACGATCCGTCTTTAACGAACACAGCTCTCACACTGCTCTCACCGCCTGTTGAACGCCGTATTTTTCTGTCAACGCGCAGATGGCTGGCCCTGCTAGAAGAAGTGCAATAGGCCGAATACCTCCCAGTAAACCGACCTCAGCTTCTGCGTGGTTCAGGAGAACGAGACATGGAAAAAAGAAACGTGGCGATGCTGTAGCCGTGCGACTTCAAGTATCCTGGCGGCAACATGGGCGGATTTTGTACAGCGGGCGGTGGTGTTCAACCCTAAAAAATTGTAACGCCGGGTTCACGCGCTCACCAGAGAGCCCCTTGCTTCGCCAAATGACCGGAACAAAAGGCGTGACGCTTCCGAGCGACATGAACATGAAGAAGTATAGGGCGCAACCCGGCAAATAGGGCCTCCCCGTCGATGGCACGGCCATCTTCACGTCCAGGCCCTTCAAGGGCGATGATGAATTCGCTGTCGGCCGGTTGGAGACCGGAGGATACTAGGCAAAGTTCAAGGCAAGAGTGGCGTAAGGTCGACATTGCTTGGAAAAACGGGTTATATGTCCTCAAGCTATTTAGGCGTTCCTACAGAGTATTGGATGGATGTTTGCCGGATGAGCGGCGGATCGGAGAGACACACAAATACCCAAAAATGTATACGAAATTGACTTCATTCGATGGCGTACGATAAGAAGTGGGGAGAGTAGAAGAAAACGTCTCGGCGATACGATACAGTAAGATCTGCTAGTGGTGGTAAAAAGAAACGGGCTGCGCCGTACAACGGGCGAACCCCGTGATCATCACAAGAAGGTAGGTTCAATGTTCGAGATTTTGTCCAAACGCCGTGGTCGATACTCTCATGCCCTAACGAAGAAGAGGGGAACCTGCCGCAATTTGACTCCGCGATGGGCACCCTCGCAAGGTTGTGCAAGCCTTTTGATGCCAGCCACACAGATCAAGTAAAGCGCCCGGAAGCACGTCATGACCAACAAGCCCGTGGGCGGGCGACACGGCTCGCACCATGTGCAACCCTTGACTTCTTCGCCCATCTCCCACACTACTGGCAGTTTGTAAAACCGCCAATTGGCACTTCAAGGACTGCCCCATGGAGTGTCCATGGGCTGCCCATGGGCTGCCCATGGATAAACTGCCGATGAAGTGCCTACCGTGGGTACGTCACCCGAGAACGTCGCCACCAGCATATCAACCTAGCCACCAGTGCCGATCTAGCACGCATCGTGCGGACTTGGGTTAGGGTTAGGGTCAGCGTTTGGGGCCGTCATACTGCCCCTCCCAAAAAAAGATAACCTAGTCTATCGTTGAGGAGTACATTGTCGATTGAAAGGCGCATATTGATGGTCCATGGGCTGCCCACCAAGTGCCTACCATTGGCATTTCCGATGGGCAGCCCATGGACATTGCTGTGCCCATAAACTGCCCATGGGCAATTTTGTGCACTTTTGTGCCCATAAGCAGCCTAAGGGCTGCCCATGGATTGCCCATGGGCAGAATGGTGTGCCCTATGGGCAGCTCCTCGGCATCCCGTGGACAGCCCGCACAGCCCGGAGGCTGCCCATGAGCCAAACAACAAAACAGACGAAACTGTGGAAGATCCTACTCGCGGTCCACGGCACGCCCGCGGCGGCGTACCCAAGTACCGAGACCAAAACCATAACCAAGGTTGTGGGCCTCGCGCGAGAGGAGACCTGTTTACGGCATGGAGTAGACATCCGACGATATCCGAGCGACAGGTTCTAAAGCCGTGTCTTGTCCTGTGAAGCCCCGCAGAACACCATTAAAGCCTACATTGACCAGCGAGACCGGGTTTCGGTGATGATGGATGAGGGGTACGACCCCTTCGTGGGCGTCGTCTTCGAGGAGAACGCATGGATTGGTGAGCACCGCAACGTGCGTGACCAAAGAAACGCTTTCGACGCGGCCTCAAGGGGGGCTAGGGCGTTGCTAGAGGAGCAGTGCATCTTTTTCCGCGGACAACCTGCACTCGCAGATTATAACGGAAGAGTGCGACACAGACGGAGACGACAAGACGCCGCTGAGGCTACCTTCGTCAGGCTTGACCGATGAACCCGAACCCGTCGATGCCGGCTACGGACGCCTCCCCAAAATCGAAGTCTGCAGTGAGAGTAGTTTCCGGGGCGAGAAGAAAACCTTCGCGTGTGGGAGGCCAACAAACAATCTGCGGGTGAACGACATTTTGTGCTCACGCGATCCGTTGAAGCGGCGGTCGCACACACAGGTAACCGCCAGTGCGTTCATTTGGAAACCGGAGTTGGCAATGATGGTGAACGGATCATTGGACGGCCGCCTCAAGCCGCGGGGCGTGGTGGGTTTGTGCAACCCGACACAAATGATCAGAACGACAACGACGGTGGGGGAGGGGGGTCCGGCGAATCAATCCCCGACGGCGGTTCAATCTCCGACCGTTTCGGCAAGATTAATGCTCTTTGAAGTGTGAGCCGTTGTTTCGTCGACTGCTTCATTCACGACACGCTCGAGATCGCAGAGTCCAATAGGCCTGATTTAATACCCCTCCGCTAATCATTTTACCTCCGTTGATTTCCACCCACCACTCTCTGTCTCTGCACTAGCTAGATGAGTGTCTTGACAATGTCCAAGACCCCTTTTCACAGTTTGGCGTTGATGATGGCATCGAATCCAGACGAGGGCTTCATTGCTATGCATCTGTCGAGTGATTTTGTTCGTTTTCACGAGCACTGTACGGCGAAGCTAGACCGAGCCTGAGCGCTGCGTGTTCTTGACGTGGGGGGTTGGCGGTTCTAGGGCAGACCAGCCGGGCAGCTGACCCTCAAACCAGCGACATACACGACGATTCGCAATCCATCAAAGGACCGCTAGCCAGTCAGTGTGAATTTGCGTCACGATGCGGCGTACTGGGTAGACCGACTGAACGCCGCTGTAGGAGCATGGGCGTTGGCAGAGTCGATCGGCGGTAGCAGCGAGTTGCCGGAGGGGTGGGAACGAACAGGAGATCTGGAAGGGTAGCAGCACGCAGACTATGTACCAATTTCTGCTACTACGGCGACTGGCCGGGATGAGGATTCATTGCAGTTATTGCAGTTCAGGACAGCTGGGAGGTTCAATTTCTGCGGATCTGATCTCTTATGGCCGCACTTTCGAGTAATGATGTGAAGTGCTTGGGGCATAGTACGCCTACACGCAAAACAGCGGGGGTGTGGCAACAAAAATTTGGTGCTGGTGCAACTGATGGTGCAGTAATTTATCACGAGAGGCAAAAGTCGGAACCAAAGAAATCAGGGGAAATTTATCACGCACTGCCGTCGATGACCATATATAGGGTCAAACACGAGCTGTAGTGACGCAAGAAATGAAACTCACATCGACCGTGGCTACAAGGTTTGGAGCCTTTGCCAAAATTAGGCGTTTCTTTCGAGCGGGTCGGGACTACTGCTGTACTATGCAAACCCGCAAAACCTCATGCATCACGAGTTTTCACCACCCATCCCACGCACATCGCATCGTACGCCATGTTGACGATTCTGCGGACTCAAAGAACCATACAAACTTAGTCCATCGATCATCAGCGAGGAGGCCTGGTAGGTGCACGGGTTTGGCTCCGCAGCTCCTCCAGCAACACCGTCGTATGTGTTGCAGCTGCTTCCCATCTTTTTGTTCCGGTTCATGACGGATGTAGCAATCACAAAATGTACTACCGCAGCTATATTTTTGCCCTCTGCACTAGCCTTTTGGGGCCATTTTTCTCTCTCTCTCTGCCGCCACACACCCACCCACCCACTACTGTACCCTTCCTTCTGGAATGCTGGAGGAATATGACATACTCTGTTTAAGTCCGCGTGGAACAACGAGAGGACAGAAAGGTAGTGATGGTACTTTGCACGTACGTATCCGCACGCACAACAATCAAATACTTCGCGGAAAAAATCCAAACCGCACTACTGCTGTACAGAAGGGGGCCCGAGATAAGGCGGTGGTGTGCGTGGTGAATATAACCGCCTTATGCCGGGCAGCCGCCTCATGAATGAGGCTGTAAACCGCCTTATTCCGGGCGAAATACAGAGGTTTACAGCGGTCGTCGCCTCACGGCGCGTTGTGGAGTGGAAGAGGATGTTCATGTGCACTATTGATCTAATGGTATGCACACACATGTATGATAGTTCGCGAACGAAATATTTTCAGCAGCGGCATGTACATCCGATGGGGTGTCAAAGCGAGGAACAACGACTCTGTTACATACTAACCCCAACAGCCAACATGGACCCACCATGCAATGATTGAAAATCTATTGCGTACCGAAGAACACAATGTATTCTGCGTCAATGGCGCCCCGTGGGTACGGGTTAAGCACTACTTCCCCCGGGGCTTGTATCTCTGAAAACACATACATACCCCTCTTTGCAACCAACTTGCTCGATGTAAGACAACAGCTCGAACTAATTACCAACAAGGATCCTTTAGGGTAATTTCGCGCCGTACTTTTCCCGCGGGAACTCCACGGGAATAGTAGTTGGCAACGTCTTACCGTGCAAATCCGCAGTCAGTTACCGTATCCGCTCAAACCATTCTCAAGTAAATGGCCTTCTCCCATGGCCATCCAACACAAATACGGTGCACCGCCGTGCGGCGTTACCATCCAGCGTTACCGTGCATTACGTGGTGGCCAGTTGCTGTACCATGCAAGTATTTCGGTACATTACCGTGGTGGCTGGTTCCCGTAAGGAAATGCCGTGGTGGCCAGTTACCACCCCTGTATTACCGTGCAATACCGTGGTTGTTGGTGGCCGTAAGTAACTATCGTGATGACCAGTTACCATCCGGAAATTACGTGAATGACGGCGGTCGATGGTTCCCGTACGAATCATTGCTATGGAGAAATCGGTACCGAGAGGAGCCTTGAAATTTCTACACCCGTCTCTAAGAATATATTCTTATGTCCGGTTGCCACACGGGTTTAGACATGCCACGTGATAACTGTTGCTCAGATCCGGGCGTTGTATGTGCACTCGCTCAGATGCTTCCCAGAGGGTGCACTCACGTGAAGGTGATCACGCATCGGGTTTGAGATAGGCAGATACGGCCTTATGCAGGGCCGAACCCGGCATAAGGCCGTGGCCGGC